GACAGCGCTGGTTCATGCTTTTGCATCTCGAGCCAGCTGCGGTGGAACCAGCGAAACTCAGAGAGGAACCGGTCGTTGCCGCTGCTGGCGGGCAAGAAGAGGACGGCGGCGCGGCTAAACTTCGTCAAGTCGTGCGTCGACCACGCGGCCTCGCGCTTGGTGCGAAACTTGCGGAGCGACATGGCGAGGTACGAGGATTCGTCCAGATACGTGACCAGCGCTGCGCACGCCAAGATGCACGTGAGGCCCACGGCGAGGAGCGCGCGCCGGAAGGTGCAGGCCATCATGACCAAATCGGTGTGTGCGATATCGTCGTCGCATCCCGGACGTACAATAACGTACCGTTGTACTGTACGTCTTGCGTTTTAATTGCCATACGATACGGTCCCGTACATTGCAAATGGACAACACGGAAATAGTGTTATTGAAATAGTCATGTCAAACTTTGGACCCGAAGAAGTTATTCTGCCAAAATGAATGCAGCCGGTTGAGCCCGCCGCGTCTACGCCAGCACAAAATTCTTCGATTTAGCGGAATTCAAGCAATGACACTATGTGTGCAAAGGTGGTGATGGTGCACCGACGATTTTGTACGCCCCAACATCGAGCTACAGATCGTGTTTTAGATATCCGAGAGAAAGTGATCGGGTCCACGAGGTACAAGACTGGAGCTGCTCCACTGTTGAAGCCTTGTTTGGGGTGAGTATTGAGGCGAGAAAATGCTTGTTGGCTCAGCACCAGTGGCTGGACGAGAGAGCTGCGTGTAGCAAAAAATTGCGGCTTTGCGCGAGGTTTTGTTTTATGTCGCGTAAATCTGGTTGAGCCCGTCTTGTCCAGGTGTAGCTTGAATTCTACCACCGTACGAATTCAGAGCAATGACACTATGTGTGCAAAGGTGGTGATGGTGCACCGACGATTTTGTACGCATTTTATTCGTTTGCCATCCCGAGGTATTTTGATGATTGTATGGTCATTTTTTCTACACCAATCCTCGAAACGTGATGCGTATACGACGGTGCTGCGTGTGTACCGCTGCAAAGTAGATAAAAGTAGATGATGGAGGTGGCATTGTGGGCTTTGTATTATGAACAAGTTGTTCTACAGATCGAGTCCAAGACGTCTGATGGTGGGATCTGCACGACGCTGTGTGGGACTAGGTAGTTTTACAGCTGGCGTCTGGAATCGAGGCGACGCAAGTCATTTAGACCACCACGAGTGCCCGTATAGTGTCGGCACCTAAACTGAACGTGCTCAAAAGCATTCTAAACCGGGCGAAGTTATTCGCTTTGATCGGTTACACGTGGTTCAATCATCCGCGTTTACGAGGATGCAGACAACTTGCCGTGCGCGGAGTGCACAGCGATTGCTCCATGTGTCGTCAATTTAGTGACACCCCTTTGTGAGACGAATGCGACCACTACAGAGCGCACTGGATACGTCTGCAGTCGTGGCATACAAGGTGTGTTAGGCTGCAAATCAAGCCACGAAGCATCGTTCTCACGTCATCGATCGTACTCCTACGTACTAGTAGTGGTGTCTGTGGTCCGTGGTCGCGAGTGCAAGTGTGTTTTCACCATACATTGTATGGGATTCAAAACGACGAGGCTTTTCTATGCTGTCGTGTAAAATGGTAGGTCCGACACCCGTCATCATACAACAGAGACGCGACCGTCTCTGGTGAAGGCGGTCGATATGGTGTAGTGACAGCGTGGAATACCGCGCTATGGACGCGCGTGCGACCTCACTGGTCTTCTTCGACGAGCAACGCGGAACGCGACCTACCGGCAGCATCGTACTCGATAACTCAAGTGGATGCGGCTGGTTTCCTGGCGCCGGTAGAAAAGCGTTGTAGGCGAAACCGTCCAAAATCACAGGACCTCAAAGGGCGTCAGGTAGGGGGCCTATCTCTTTTACTTTTTGGGTCCATTTTTTTCAACATGATATAAGTATGCAATAAAATAAAAAGATGCCTTAAAAATCAAACTGGTCGCGTCGATGAGATGCGGTGGCGGCAAGCATGCATGCGCGCGCTTGGAAGGCCGGACGAAGCGCGCGCGAACCTACGACTAACTAAGGGGTGGCTTCCATTTTCCAGAGAGCTTGAAGCAGAGGCTAACGATGGCGGGCCGCTTTGTCACGAGTCGCCCCAGCCCCGGCGGGACGATCGCGTACGAGCTCGACCCGGCGAGTGTCACGGCGGTCTTTCCGTCGCATGACGTCTCGACGGCGCTCAAGGCCATGGTCGAAGTCTCGCTCCGCGACGTTGGCAGCCTTCTCCCCAAGGATACCCACGACGTCGACACGGCCAAGCTCCAAGAGTTCTTCCCGAACGGCCTCCAGTCCACGGACGAGCTCGTCGTGCTGCCGTACAACAAAGCGCGCGCGCAAATGGTGATGCTCACCAACCTCCCAACTCTTCCTCTCGGCCACCGCGCTGGGTTCATCGGGCAAGGGAAGCTGGAGCTCGCTCCGGGTATCGACACGAAGCAGTTCATCGCGATTGGCAGCCGAGAACTCGACCTCCTCCTTGCGGGGAAGCATCGCCTCATAAAGTGGAAGCGCGACGTCCGAAAACTGCTCGAGCTCTCCGCTGCGATCCCGGTCGACCTGCCGACAACGCCTCAGCGTATCAGAGGCAACCAACACATCATGACGTCTCCATCACCTCAGCGCATCAGAGGTAACCCGCACCTCGCGGCGTCTCCGTCATCCCAACTCATTGGCGGGCGCTTCGTGATGTCTCCATCGCCGCGACGCTTGACGCCGTTGCCGTCGCGATCACCACAATTTGATCGAGTTCATTCCGCAGCCGTCGCCGGTGTCATCGCCCGCCAAGAAGAAGACGAAGGCCGGCGCGCGTCTCCAGGCGGTGGTGGAGCTCGAATCGACCGAGGCGATGAAGACGGCGTTCAACGACGCCAAGACGCCCAAGACGCCGAAAGCTTCGACCGAGACGCGCGACTTTTTTCTCCAAGTGCTGTTGTCCGAGGCGCCCGAGTTCTCGTCCACGATGTCAACGGAGGAAACATACAAGGAGCATTTCACCGCGCTTCTCGTCGCCGAATCCCAAGCCGCGATCATCTCGGGGTACGCATCCTCTCGATGTTGCATCCCAATCTCATGTTTTCTATGCAAATGTAGGCAAAACACGTTGCCTGCCACGTGCACTGAGCTCGCCGCCTTGTTCGACGGCGTCTCGGACCCGAACGCGGCGACGTTCCAAACGCGAGGCAAGATCACGCTCATCCTGGGCGACGTCGTCCGCCTCAAGGTGCGCGAATCGGCTGCCTCGTCTCCTCAATACGCATAAAATGATTAGGTCGACAATTCGCGACGTGCTATCGGCATCGTTGAGCGCGTGCATGGAAACATGATCGACGTCGTCTTCCTCCAGGCAACGAAGACGGCGCTCGACCTCCCGAAGGCCGCCAATATCGAAGCCAAGGTGGTCGCGTTGCTCGTGACGACGCTGCGCATGGTCGTAGGGCAACCGAGAAATATCGCCAAATTGGCTCATGGGCATGTGTAGACACCCGCGACGACAGTGCGTCGAACGTGATTCGCGTAGGCCAGCATGCACCGTCCGTCACCAGCCCGCGGAACGCGCCTGCGCTTCTCAATATTTTATTCATATTTAATAGTGCGTCTTTACAACAAGCACCTGCATGCGGTTGATCGATGTCGCTACGAAAGAGAAGCTGCTCTCCCAAGACGACAATCGTCCCTTGAAAGTTCATGCATTTCAAAATTGAGACCATTTCAAGCCTAGCACCTCGGCCACGCCACGAGGACCATGATTCTGTCCGAGTCAAAGAAGACGACGCTACGCTACACACAGACGACGACGGTCCACGGCGTCTACCTTGGAGGCGCGGCAGCGGTCCACTCGCAGCTACTAGCCAGCGCTTGCACGTCGTCTGCCCAAGCTTTCAAACAACGGCGTCGCCAAGGAGAAGAAGGTCCACCCATACTCCTCAAGTCTCTCAGAAACTCTAACCCACCACATCAAGAAGCCTGATTCACATTGCAAAATGCCAACAGCCCGACTCGTCTGCAAGCTGCTCACACCACGACGTTCTTCTGGGGCGAGGAGGTATGGTCGTCAAAGCTCTGCGTCTGGAGGTACGGCGTGCTACTGGTCTTGCGCGGTGACAGCGCCCGATTGCCCGGGATGCGCTTGGACGTTTGGCGAGAAACGTCGCGGTTCCGACTCGAGTTGTGCGGCCGCCATCGCCGCCATCTTGCGCTCGTACTCCATCTCGGACGTCGTGCAGACGAGGCCGTTCGAGGCGTCGTCGCCGTGTCAATCCGGAGGTACGGGCCGTTGCTTGAAGACCAAAAAAAGCACAAAGAAGAGCGGCGCCGCAATGAACCGCCCGTGCACGCGAAAGAGGCTAACGACCACAACCCACAGTGGCGCAGGGAGGCCTTGACGGCAAACAGCGTGATCAGCAGCGCCTGGAGCGCGGTCTGGTCGCGGACGCCAAAGATCTGAAAGAGATCGTGGACACTGCAGCAGCGTCAGCTTCTCAATGTGAAATAACGAGAGGCTCGCAAAGAGGAGCTCCCTGCCGAGGCAGTTGGCCAGCATGAGCGGCCGGGCGACGCCCGTAAAGCCGCGGGCCGTGTACACGTACAGCGGCAAGGTCGAGAACGCTGAGATGCTCACAAAAGCGTGCCCATAAACGCCTTGTAGACGCCGTTGGCGCCGCTGTACTTGTGCACTTGCTTGGCCTGGAGCTCGTTGAGTTCGGCGGCCACGTCTTGGCGCCGACGGAGGAGCACGAGGCATGCCTCGCACGCGCTCTTCGCCGTGGCGGGCCAGCACCCACTCGGGACTTTCTGGCAGCAAGTTGATGGCCGGCGTGAGGCACGCAAACACGACGAAGCTCGAGGGCCATGTCGATGGACCTGGAAGATGCAACAACTCGTCGTCTTCGGAAATCACGAGAATGGGCGACGCTTTTTTTCATGTCGGCCATGTGTTTTAATTCGGATGTCATGCGGTTCGATACGAATCGCAAGATGGGTTTGATGAAGTGGCTTTAAAATGCTGCACCCACTGAATATCATTAAGCGTGATTTGTGGCTATTTTTTGGATTGGATAAAATGCAACCCGAAACGGATTTGATTGGCCCATGCCAAAATTCGAGCGACCTGCGATTGGTCGAAACACGAATATTGTGTTGTCGAACCTTTGCGAGAGGCTGGCTCGGACAGGCACGCTGCCGTTCCATTAGGACGATGAGGCCGCGCTGCTATTTGCTTGGAGCCACGCCACTTCAGCGTCGACGATCGATTTGAGGCGGATGAGGAGCTGGCTGTTGACGACGATGTCGAGGCCCCGTGCTTGCATCAACTATTATACATGTTTTGATGTTGAAGCCTCGACAAGCGACAAGGGGTAGGTACGGCACCTGTTCGACGTCCTTCTTGAGAAAGACGCACGCCTTCTCGAACCGGTCCTTCTCGACGCCGCGCTTGAAGAGCGGGTACTCGATGTACGGGTCGTTCACGTCGTCTCGCATGAACGAGCGCGACGAGCAGTGCACGATGGTATACCGGAGATTCACGTCGAGGTACTTGGCGAGCATAAATACAAAGTGGGCAATGTACCCGAGCGCTGTCGAGAGCATTTCGTCGTCTTTGCCTAGCGATCGCAGCATTTTTGACGCCATCGACACCTTGATACACGCTTGATACCATTGGCCACGTCGGCGTTCATAAATTTGATGCCGCCAATGCAATATTCGCCCGCACCAACGTACGAGATGGGGTAAATGTCATGGAGCTGGACGACCAAATGGGCTTGCTTGGATCGGATTTTGTGGGCGACCTTGAGCACCTCGGTCCTACGGTGCATGCAATGGTTTGAATCCGGCACATGGGATGCAAGCGAACCGTCGTTCCCAGATACCGCTGCGCTCGTCACTCGCCTTGTTGTGAATGTCCATAAGGTGCACGAGCGTCCGCGGAATGCGCTCGTCGAGCTGCAGCAGCTGCTTCTCGACCTTGACGACCGATTTCACTAGACGTGCATCACACGGCCGTCCCATCCGATCTCGCGTCGTACCCCGTGACTGCGCTTGTTTGCGCTCGTCCACTTCCTTGCGCAAGGCGAGAATGCGGTTCTGAAGCCGCAGCCGCTGCTGTTCCTGGATACGGAGACGATGAGTCGTCGTCGTCGTCCCCATCGAGACGTAGCGCGCGACCTTTTCGGCGGCGGCTTCGTGCGCCGCGAGTTGCTGTGCAATGCGCTCACGCTTGGCTTCGATACTACGCTTGCGCTGCTCGATCTCGGCAAGAAGACCAATGCTGGTGTTGAGCAGCAGCGCGGCCGTCGGCAGCGAGTACTTGGTCTCGCGCAGAATGCCTTCTACACAGATGTACTCTGGATGAAGACTGCGCTGAGGATGGCAGAGAGAAAGCACCTTTGCGCCGACGACCGTTCATGGCGCCGCTCTGTACCAAATGCAGCATCGTATCCCGTGGGACAAAGTACTGCTCCGAGTCTTTGTCGAGTTGGAAGCCGAGGATGAGTGTGTTGAGCGGCAGTCCGTAGAGATCGCGGTAGTCGCAGTGCAGCGGCTCGAGCGCATCGAGCTGCACGACAAACCGAAGGACTTCCTCAAAGCTCCGCATGTCGTGGCGCCTGCATCATGGACATACTATGGGTGATGATGGCCGGGCTGCGAGACACGTACCCGTCGCTTTCGTCCGTGGCGGTCGACTTGGCCTGGTCGTCGCCATTCCCTGTATCGTCGTCCTCATCCTCGTCGTCCTCGTCTTCGTCGTCTTCTTCCTTGAGGCTTACATACGGCGGCTCGTACGGCTTGCGGTCGCTGCTCACGTAGCGGTAGACAATGAGCTCAAAGACCGAGTCCTGGAGAAACTCGTAGGGCGAGATCGTGTTGCCAAGGCGCTCGTCGAGCTCGACGGGTGGCCACGTCGGATTGAGCGTCTCCTTGGCCACGTCGCTCTCGTACAGAATGGTGGCGCCGGCCGCGAGGCGCACAAAGAGGTCCGGCAGCTCGACTTCGCCGAGGCTTTCGCCGGTAGCGCCCATCTTGGGCGCTGAGAAGTCGCTCGCGCCCGTGCTGCTCGTGAAGCTCAAGTGGCGGAGGCAGATGCTCCGGAGCTGCGAGACGCAGAGGGTCCGGCGCTGCTGCATGCTGCTGCCGACGCTGAAAACCTCCTACTGTACTATTGCACCCTCTCAGAACTAATATGCGGAATTGGTAACAGGACGCCGCAAACAGCTTACTTTCGGCACTTGTGGCATCTGCCACCGACAGGAGCAGCGCAACAGGGACGGCGCTGCTTCGCCCACCGTCGCAGCCGAGCCCATGAGCCAGCGAGGCGTGGTTGACGTAGCCATGACCATGGTAACCACCACTGCGCGATCTCCGGATCCAGCTACCAGGTACTGCAATGGGCCATTACACAAGCTGCGCGTCATGCTTTCTGCGGCGTGAGTGCCAACGAGCAGCGAGCGCAACCAGCTGGCGCAGGACTGCAAGTCACGCAAGCACAAGGAAGACATGCACCCTTGGTACTTTTAAGTACACTACAGTGCGATGCCCTCGGCGGCTAAAGGTGGCGCTTGCCGTACGTAAGATTCCACACCTCGAGCCGCCTGCAGCGCTCGAAAGACCGGCGCCCATCCTCGCTCGAGTAGCTCGCTCGAGTAGCTCGTACTACCGGTACATGAGCTTACATCAACACATATCACAGCAGACGTGTGGCATCCCCTTGAACAACCGCGTGTACGCTTAGGCAATAAAGTCTTCGAGGTCCGCAAAAGCGTCGTCGCCGCCTTCTTCGCGGAGACACTCGTCAATGTACTCGTGTCGACTGCGCAGTCGATGCTTCCGTCGCTGCTTGGTCGCTGTCCGCAGCTCCTGCGCTTGCTGCCGAAGCTGCGTTGTCTGCTTCTTGGTCATCTCGGACATGGACTGCACGTGTTGCATGATGCGCTGGGTGAGGTCCTCGACGATCGACCGGTCGTCGGGCGCCAACGCGTGCTTCTACGGTCGCGTACATTGCAATCTCCTGTAGTACACCGTGACCATACCTTTTTGAGAGCCGACCCGAGCGTCGAGGTGGCTTCGAGCAAGAAGACGTCCATCTTGGTTGTCATGTCCACCGTCGCCTACCGGATGTACGTACTACAGTCGACCACGCAAGCAGATGGATTTGTCGTACCGAGGCGTAGAGCTGCCACGCCTTGACGAGCGTCAATTGTAGCAGGACAAGGTCACGGATGATGGCGACGATGGCCGAGCCGCCGTGGATCGCCGGTAGGACGCACTTGCCAATGCGAAGGACGCTGTCGAGGACGCCACCAGCCGCCTTCCACGAGAGGCGCGGCGCCACAAACGCCTCCAGGAGCATCGCGTGCACGTTGGCCCACGGCGTGGACGGCGACCCGTTGGAGCTCAGCTGCGCGTACCAACTGTGCAGGGCGCCCTCGACGTGCTTCATGGCGAGTACATACGCGGTTGCGCGCGTTGTCTCGGAGACGAGGAGCGGGTGTGTCACAGCGGGCCGCAGCCGCTTGTGCTTGGCCGTTGGCGCCGTCGAGATGCGGTCGTCGGCGTCCGGTGCCTGCGCCTCCCGGAGCACGGCGATGAGGCGCTCGAGCGGCACATTGCTGGGAAAGCTCATGCTCAAGACCGCGCGGAGGAGGTTGGGCGAGGCCACTGCGTTCTCGCAGAGCAGCAGGTACATGGCGTCGGCGACATCGACATGGCTCGACGGCGACAGCTGGGCGTGCACGAGCTTGAGCCACTCGACGAGGATGAGCGCGAGGTAGACGTGCGACGACCCACTTAAGAGGTGCGTGAGCTGCTCGTGAAAGGCTGCGAGCACAGGCTCCCATGCATCGACGTGCCAGCAGGCGAGAAAGGCGCGGTAGTCAAAGTGCGCGTTTGTCTTGGCGAGCGCGACCCAGAGCCGCAAGATCGCGCCCAAGACGTCCGACAACTTGTACGTTTTCAGCGGCTTGAGGCGACACGTAGCCACAAGATCCACTTGGTCATTGTCATTGTCGTCATGGAGAAGCGGAATGCTGCCTTGGCCCTGGACGAGCTCGGGGTACAAGCGCACGGTACTTCTTACGGCCACGGCCACGTCGTCGACGCTCAAGTGCGTCGACTGCTTCTCGAGCGCGACGAGTCCGAGCATTGTGTGCTGCAGGCAGCAGCTCGAGGCGTCGAGGGCGCCAAGTAGCTGGCCCTGGGGCAGCGACCCGTGCACGCGCCGAAGCGTGCACTGCAGCCGCGCGACATCAACGCTGTGCGCGACATCGCAGCACGTGGCGTAGACGGCCGCGCGAACCGCACTCGATGCCGTTGGCGGCTGATTCAAGTAGGCGATGCAGTGCGCACTTGAGACGAGCTGTCCCAGCGCGCGGCGGAGCGCGTCTACGTACGCGGCGGCCTCGGGGCTGAGACGCGGCAGGACGTCGAGCAAGAGGGCGAAGACCGGTGCCGCGTCGGCGTCAATGGCACTCTGCAGCGTCGGCGCATTTGGCGGTGTAAAGTCGACGAAACATGCCAGATTGCGCCGACACGCCGCCTCAATGTGTGCCGGCGGCGCCACCGACGTGGATGCAAGGAGCGCGGGCAGTCGCTCGAGGAGATGGCGCTTGAGCTCCGCGCTCGGCATGTGGAGCACATCGTGAAAGCACGTGAAAATGTCTTCTTGCTGACGCGACGATAGCGTCGGCCGCTGCAAGAGATCGCACCACAGTGTTATGGCCGCCATTTGGTTGGCTGGCAATGGGGCCACGAGCTGCTTGCGCAGAAAGACCATTACAAAACTCTCAAAGGCCGACGAAGCGGTCAGCGGAAGAAGCGAATGCAGCAAGCGCGTGCCACAGGACACGGACGTCGAAAAGAGGTGGGCCACCCGGTCTTGGAGCTGGTGGGCGACCGTCGCGAGGAGCTGCGTCTGGTCCATGGCGAGCTTCTCCAAAACATGCAGCGCTTGGTCCGTCGCATCGATCGCCGAGAGGAGCAGGTTGACGACCTCGGTGCGGAGCTCGGGCACGTCGGTAAAGACAATCAGAAAGGTGTGGTGCGCGATCGCGGCCGACGTCGGTAGCCACGCGACAGCAGCGTCGAGCAGCACGAGTGCTTTCCAGTGTTTCGAGAAGCGCAAGAGCGGGCGAATGTCGAGGACCGCGGTTGCTTCCAAGTGCCGTTGCAGCGTCTTCTGGAGCTGCTTGTGCTCCGACTCGGGCTTGGCAATCGAGAGCTTGAAGAGCGGCTGGGTCGCGTGCATGGCGTGCAGCACGACAAGCACATCGAGCGGCGTCCACGCGGCGCTGGACGACCGCAGGACCTTGTGGAAGCGCTGGACGTAGACGGGCGAGTACTGAAACAGCTACGCCGCATTCATGATGGCACACTGCTGATGGCAACACGAGCGTACCGTTTGGAAAAGGTAGTCGAGGTCGCGCTCCAGCGACGGTGGAGCAAATGCGAGCATCTCGCGTGAGAGGCTGATCCACATCAGATCGTCGTGCGCATCACTGAGCTCGTAGCACGCACGGACCGAGTCGTCCCAAAAGCCAAAGGCGAGCTGGGACGAGAGAGACGGCAGCGTAGTTCGCACGAGCGTCTACGCCAACCAGCACGATGTTTGAGTTTAAATAAGCGTAGAGACGCTGGTGTTGCTGTCTACCTGCAGTTTGTGGTGGTGCGCGCGCGTTAAGAACGTACAGCCTCGGGCAAAGCCCAGTACGAGGTGCAAGGTTGGTGCGGCCCACGGCAGTTGAAGCAACTGTTCCACGAGCTAGTACAAGAGAATCTTAGCGAACTCGACGCGAAATCCCGTACGATGGAGGTGTCGGACGAAGGCGGCAACAACGAGACGAGGTACGGCACGCTATCGAGGATCGATTGGAAGCTCCTTGCGTCCACGGCTGAGAAATTGTTCAGCGCAGCATGGAGCAAGGCGAGAATGGCTTGAAGCACGCTTTGAATCTCGTTCATGACGCTGCGAGTTGCGTCGGCGTCGTCTCGCAGCTCGTCGACGAGGACCATGAAGGCCATTGAGAGTTCGTTGACCCACTTGTAGTGCAACTTCTTCTCGAGGACCATCGAGAGAAGCAAGTCGACGACGCAGCGTCGACGCGGCATCGCCTGTTCGTACGCCGCCGAGGCAAGGGACTGGCCCTCGATGGGGCAACCGAGCACGAGGCGGACAAAGGCCATGGCGGCGTCGTCGTGCTCGTGCTGTGGCAGGCCGCGCATGAGGCCCTCAATCTACAACCATTGTCTTGACACGTAGACGCATGCAGCGTAGACTCGCACCTCGGCCATGTCTATGCGCGCGAGGTGCGCCTCGACGGCCTCAATGTCATCGGTCGTCGTCTCCAGCAAGCGCTCGAGGCTGGCCATGAGGCGGTCGGCGCGGGTGAAATTCCAGCGGACGGCTTTATAGCGAATCAAACGCGAGGACGTTTAGGATTGGTTGAAAATGAGAAATGCGTTTGTCTCAAATAGTGTGAGCGGTTACACAACATTGGCGTTGAATCACTTACGAAACTCCTCAGAGGTGCGTATTATGACAAATGGGGTTTCAAAGTGAAATTGATGTGATATTGCATCGCTACGAGGCTTCCTCGGGAGAAAACAACCTACCAGAGTTCCGAGAGCTCCAAACTACGGGTGAAAACAGAACAAGGGTATTCAAGGGTCATTGACCCTTGGTCCAACATAACACAAGGTCATGTCAGTTACGTTCCAATTTTTACGGATGATCCCCGAAGGGATTCCTAGGTCATGTCAGTTAGTCAATGGCCAGTTTTCGCCGGCAGCATTGAGCATGACCACGATAGCCTACTATTTCGTCCACTTGCGTTATCCATTCCCAAGCCATCGTCCCGCGAGATGCTTCATTTTCACCGAGCTATGTAGCATTCCCATAGACTTCAGTCGCGTGTTAATTCTTGTGCTCTGCACGAGGCTGGTGAGCTACGAACTTCATGGATATTCTACCTGAGCATCCGAGGGCCAACGTACACTTGGTACAAAATTAAAGCGGCTAACAATAGACATCCACACTATTTCCTGTATGCAAACTGGCACACGATTGGCCAAAATCAGAGTAATATTGCGATCTGCCAGCGAAACTTCCTGCAGTTGGCAATTTCCCATGAGCTCGATCGGACGCAAGCAGCGCGATAGCCTCACGACCGGGCAGATCCAGGTCAGCGTCGGCGGCAAGCGCTCGGTGCTGGCGCCGCCCGAGGCCGCGCCCAAGGTGACGTCGCCGACGGTAATGTCGATGAAGAGCATGCTCCATGCTTGCCAGTCGGTCTTCCGCCGACCGCGCATCCGCGGGCGCTCGATCGAGCCCGAGTCGGAGATGCTTCTGCTTCCGTGCGTCGCCAAGAGCGACGAGGCCATTCGCATCATCTCCAAGGCGCTCCGAGCGCACTACCTCTTCCAGACGCTCGAGGACGCGCAGCTTCTCGAGGTCGCACGCGTCATGGACCTTGTCACGCACAATGACGGCGACGAGGTCATTACGCAAGGCGACACGGGCGATGCGTTCTTCGTGCTCGAAGCCGGCTCGTGCCAGATTCTCGTCGACGACAAGGTCGTCGGGCACTACGTCGGCGGCCAGGCCTTTGGCGAGCTCGCGCTGCTCTACAATGCGCCGCGCGCGGCCACGATTAAGGCAACGTCTCCGTGTACGCTATGGAGCATCGACCGCGTCATCTTTCGCAAGATCGCAACGACCGCCGAGATGCAGTCGCAGAAGGCGCGGCTCGACTTCCTCAAGCAAGTCGACTTTTGAAACACCTCGGCGACAAGCCACTGCGCAAGATCGTCGACGTCCTCCGCATGGAGTACTTTGGTGCGGGTGCGACCATCATCCGCCAAGGCGACGAAGGCAACACGTTCTACATGATCGTGCAGGGCACCGTGCTCTGTTCGAGCGATAACGACGAGCATCTCGTGACGCTCCACGCGGGCCAGTACTTTGGCGAGCGCGCGCTCCTCACCAACGAGCCGCGCAAGGTCAACTGCGTCGCCGAGACCAACGTCACATGCTACATGCTCGGGCGCCGCGACTTTACGCAGCTCCTGGGCCCCCTCCAGACGCTCCTCGACCGCCAAGTGCGCCTCCGCACGCTGCGCAGCATCACGCTGCTGAGCCACCTCTCGGACTCGGAGCTCGACGTGATTGCGCTTGCGTTCCGCACCGTCTCGTTTCCCGACGGCCAAAAGATCATTCGGCAAGGCGAGATCGGCAACACGTTCTTCATCCTCCAGCAAGGGGTCGTGTCGGTACAAAAATCTGGCATCGAGGTCCTGCAGCTCCGGGCCGGGGAGTTTTTCGGCGAGCGCACGCTCTTGCACAACGAGCCGCGGGCCGCCGACGTCATTGCGTCTGGGCCCGTCGAGTGCCTTTGCCTCGACCGCCCCGCCTTTGAGCGCTGTCTCAGCAAGCTCCGCGCTGTCATGGCCGAGGAAGCCAAGCGCCAAGAGCTTATCCAGGCGTCGATCCTCGGCACGCCAGTGCCCACGCAGAAGCACTTGGACTTTTCCGAGCTCGACAAGGTCGACACGATCGGCGCCGGCACCTTTGGGCACGTCTTCATGGTCAAGCACAAGCCGAGCGGCGTGACGTATGCGCTCAAGTGCATGCAGAAACACAACATTGTGGCGACGCACCAAGTGCACAACATTCTGAACGAGAAGCGCATCATCTGCGAGTGCAACCACCCGTTCATTCTACGTCTCATCGATACGTTTGCCGACCGCGACCAGCTCTACATGGTGCTCGAGCTCGTCCAGGGCGGCGAGCTCTGGAGCTTGCTCTACGAAAAGTCATTTTGCCTAGCAAAAGGTAGCGCCGGCGGCTTTGACGCACCGACCGCGCGCTTTTACGCCGCGAATGTCGTCGAGGTCTTCCGATACCTGCAGACCATCAACGTCGCGTACCGTGACCTGAAGCCCGAGAACCTCATGCTGGACGACAAGGGCTATCTCAAGATGGTAGACTTTGGCTTTGCCAAGCACATTCCGTCTCAAGCAAGGCGCGCTCTGCGAAAAGACGTTTACGGTCTGCGGCACGCAAGAGTACATGGCGCCCGAGATCCTGCTTCAGAAAGGCCACGGTCTCGCTGTCGACCACTGGGCTCTTGGCTGTCTCATCTACGAGCTCCTCGTGGGCCACACGCCGTTCTACTCGGACTGCCACGACGACCTCCAAGTCGTTTGGAACGTCTTGCACTCGTCATCGACGCTCCGCTTCCCCCACGGCGTGGACCCGGAAGCGAAGGACCTCATCACGAAATTGCTCGAGCCCAACCCGCGGCTGCGCTTGGGTACGTATTTCTCGAAAGGAATCGGAACAGCAACAGATGCTGGTGGTGCTAGGATCGCTGCCCGGTGGCATGAACGACGTGATGCTGCATCCGTGGTTCTCGAAAGCGTGCTTTGATTGGGCCGCGCTTCGAACCCAGACGCTGACAGCGCCGTATACGCCTCCGATCAAGGATGCACTGGACTTGAGTCAGTTTGGTCACTTCCCCAAGGCGGGCAAGATTGTCAAGTACAGTGGTGAAGACTACTTTGCCGACTTTTAGTGCCTGCTGCAATCTTCCTATTTCATCAATGTATGCTGCACAAGCGACATTCGCTCCTCCTCTTTCTTCTTCTTCGTCCGAGATTTACCGTGACACTAGAAACCAAGCGCATCAAACGAGTGCAGCTGAGGAAAGGCGACTTGGATTAAGCGTCGACAGGAGACTCGTGGAAACTATGATGAGTCGCATCGGTTGGCTATTTCGACGGCACCACATCCCAAGACCTCTCCAACTCGGTGCAATGAGACAGTCGAAATCTTCGCTCTGCACGTCAGGCGCCTCAAACCTAACCACTCGATTCACACCGGCACGGCAGTCGGCGATGTAGTTGACGGCAGAGGTGGAGTCGTCGGGCTTTGCAGCCCGCTCCTTGACAGTGCACTGTCAAGGCAGCGAAAGCAAGACTGACGTTTAACTTCATTGCCCCGAAGGTTGAGACCACGCGACTCGTGTCACCCGAAGAACCTAGCCTCGAGCCCTGTTGGATGAAGTCGCAGACCGTGCGCACATTCCGCGTTATCTTCATTACAAAGACTTCGCCAACGCATGGATACCTATGATGCTGCGACAGAGGGGGCGAAAAGGGGCACCTTAGCACAACATGGAGGATTCGTTTCGCCGCATCAGTTGTAGCTACCATTTAGACTTGGTCTTGTTTGCGGTCATCCTGACAGACCATCCTGACGCTCCTTTGCAGCGGCCAGTTGCCTCGGGACGGCATCCCTGGCGACGTGCGAGTCGATTTCTTTGAGCTTCTTGACCATTTCCATCAGCACGAGCCGCCAGCGTGCGCAGACCGTAGCGACAAAGTGAGAATGCGAAGCAAATGTGACATCGGCTTGGCGAAACGACCAGATGATGACCAACGCATCGTCGCTGCCACAAGAGGCGTTTTTCGGTTGAATTCGGCCCACTCATCGACGCAAATGCACAAGTACCGTCCTCCTCTCATGAGCAGGTCGCCGCGATGTTGCTCTGCGGATGTGAGACTGCACTTGGCTCAGGCTTGTGTACAGTGTTTCGTTCTCTTATGTGTTTACGCGGTGATTTGAAGGCGCTGCTGGACGTTCCAGAGCCGCGCGGCCGGATAGAGCGCAAGTGTGCTAGGAACGTCGGTAAAGTGCTGGTCGAGGAGAACGCCGTTGACTTCGAAAGAAATGGAGTCGTCGTCGCGCGTGACGATGACGGTTGTCGCGGACGACGTCGCCTTGAAGGGCGGAACCACCACCGGTGGCAGCGGCTTGGGGGATTTCGCAGGGTAGGCCTTGAGCACGGCGTGGATCTCGCCAGCGCTGTGAATCTCGATCGAGAGGACGTACCCATGGACAGTGGTGCCTTCCTCGCGCGACGCTTCGCGGGGGCAGTAGCCGACCTCGAACGACGACGCTGTTTTGGCCGAAACGCAAAAACGTCGCAGCGGCGTGACCGCGACGGCGCCCACAAACGCGTTGGATCCTCGCTGCTTGCCCATGACCGTGTCGCCCGCACTCAATAAAATGTCGTCGTGGCAGTGGGCGGCATCCCACGCGGCCAAGGGCGGCAACTGGAGAAAGTCGAAGAGCTTGTAAAAGTCCGCTTGCGCGTCGCCAGGAATGTGATCGAGAGGCAGGTGGCCGCTGCGAAGGTACGTCATGATGGGCGCAAACAAGGCCGGGTCAAAGTCCAGAAAGTATTCGCCTAACCCACCATTTTGTGCGTGCAATCGAGGCCAACAAAAGTACGAGCAATACCATTGTCGTTGGGCGGCCATTGGAGCAACGCGTGGAAGTAGCCGTCTTCAAACCGCAAAAGAGTCTCACGCAAGGTTGCAAAGCGTGTACCACCGACGTTGAGCGTGACGATCTCGGTCGGTGGCGCGACCGTGGAGCGCTGGGTGTCGCGAAGGGCAGAGACGACGTCGGTGACAAAAGCGTCGAACGGACCTTGCACCTCTGGCGACAGGAGCGTTCGTAGCTCGGCCCAGCGCGCCTCGAACGCATCGCTTGCCGTCGACGCTGAGAACGTCATTTGCCAGGGTCCGAAAAAAGAATAGTGTACAACGCTTGGCAATAGGGGTGCTTGAAGTTTTGACATGCTGCATAGAAAAGGAGAGGGAGAAAATCCATTTAGTAATAGCAGCAGTATCCTCCTGGACGAGAGTCTGGGGCGCCGCAATGCAACACTCCCGCCTTATTACATACGGTACATTAAATGTACCCTAGATGCGGGTCAGAACGTCTGACCCGCATCAAGTTTACAGAGACAGCCAGAGACCATGGCCAGAGACCTTCTGACTCAGAAGGTCTCTGGCTGTCTCTGGCGCAATTGGCTACACTCTGGGTACGATACAGGAAAGTGGTCCAATAACGGAAGGCTTGTAAAACCATACTATTTACTAACGTCAAATTTGTATGCGAACTATGCGTATTACAATCTGGGCAAGCACATCTAACTGATCTGACTCGGATGATTTGAGGACCCTGTTCTTTTGACTTGCATCTGGGGAGACCATTTTTAATAGAAGAAGCGCGGTGCCCAGATCGTGCGCCCATGTAGATAAAATGTGCGGTAGGTTGGTTTTTAAAGCCGTCCTTTACAAGCTGAGTATGCAGCACTTGGCCACGCGCGCTTGAAGGGCTGTGACGACAAACCAAAGGTCGGCAACTACTTTTTGACGTCTCTGCGCATCGCACTTGAGCGTGCTTGAGCACCGACAGGGTACGCACATGACGACGAGGACGCCAGACTAGGAGCTCAGACTAAGTAGCCGTAGAGTGCTGGTACGATCGGGCTTTCCCACAGACGCGTTGTGCAGACTACCAGCAACGAACCACCGCACTACCACGCTTGCGTTGCGTGCCTTCTCGGTTCCAAGATTTGATTCGCGTAGACAGGCTGCCACGTCATCGGTACACTTTGAGCTATGTAATTCTTAACACACAACAGTTTTCCAGTTTGAAGGTACCGTACGTCATGCTGGGCCAAAACAATCTTGGCTCGATGTTCAAAAATACTCGCCTGGTTGAAGATCAGAGACAAGCAACGCGAGCCTCTTGTTGGCGGGCCACTGCAGCATCGTATAGAAGTAGGCAAAAGGTTCTCACGCGACGTCGCAAAACACGCGCCACCGACGGTGAGCGTGACGATCTTGGTCGGCAGCTTGGAGACATGCGTTTCGAGCAGCAGCTCACGCATCGCAGAGGCAATGTCATCGACAAAGGCGCCTAGAGGAACCTGGACGTCGGTTGGTAGGAGCACTTGGAGCTGAGCCCAGCGCGCTGACACGAGAGCGGTGCGTCGTGTGGCGACATGGACGAGTGTGAATGGCTACAATCCCACCACAACGACGTGATTGGCTACAACCGGAATTGCTGGCCAATAAAAATGCGCGAAAAACGCTCTAGATTTCGCTGGGCAAGTCGACCGACTCAATCGTAGCTTTCTAATCATGCGTGTATCGGTAGGAGCAAGGAAGGTAGCGGCGCAAGTATTGGAGCAGTCGAGTAGGGCGTCGGTTCAAATACAAGCATGGACGGCAAGGCACACTGCCGACTCTACGATCCTAGTCGAGTTGGCGGCCATTGATAGGGTTTTGGGCATGCGATCCCAACGAACTATCCCACCAGGCGCTGTCCAAAAAACTTCTTGGGGTGCAGCAAGTTACGAAGGGAGAGTGCAGGCGTCGAATTGCCGTGTTTGTCACTCGCAACGGTGCAGAGCACTTGGCGAAAACATCATTTGCTGTGCGGGTTGTAGCGCTTTGATGAGCTTTTGTGACGATGGACTTGCATTCCAGCCATTCCCTGGTCCTGCCTGCGGTCTTGTAGCGTCAGCCTGGATCCCAGTTAGGGATTTATTTCAGTTGAACTATTCCGTAGGCCCTTCCTTGGTTCGTCAAACTGCACTCGACATAGCGCCGTTGCGTGTCCTAACGAAGTTCGAAGCTACGACATTGGAATATACGAGGTGGCATGTGCCACGTGTAGTCGCCAACGGTCGCGTTTCAGACGTGGCAAGATGGGCAACTCCTTCCCATCTCGCTCCTACGTATTGTTTTACAAGGCTCTGTCACCACTGTGCATACCAATTTCGACATTAAATACTTGACGCCGTTGCATCCAAACGACCCGACGACACGTGGCGGGCCCTGAAATGCAGGGAGTGTCCTCGAAGTTCGAAGTGCAAGCCCACAAACGAGCGCTATTTCCATTCTGGCCGATGCAAGCCGGGGCCGAGGTCGTTCCCGTCGACAGTGCGATGGCCGTCGCCGCGACGTCGCCCAAGCCAGAGCCGCTCACTTATGACGTGCACCTCTTCGAGGCCTTCCCGGCCGTGTGCGCCAAGGGCAAGAACGGCGTCCAGACATGCCAAGCCATGTCGCTCTTCCTTCAAGATCGCGCCAACTTTGAGATGCTCTACAGCAAGCAGCTCGGCAAGATCCAGCAGTACTACACACCGCTTGATTGGCGTTTCGGATACAAGGCTAAGGCGGCGCGTAGGAGCCCCAAGTCGGAGGACTGGGCGAAACAAGTGGCGTCGGTCTGGGCGGCCGTGCACAAGGCGATGGCGTCCATCTCAGCCGAGCACGCCGATTTCGCGAGCAAGCACACGACGAGCATCGTTGCTGGCATCAAGGCGTGCACGCTGCAGCAAGACACGCAGATCCAGCGGCTCACGTCCGGTGCGTTCAACTTTCGGGAAAATTTCGACTCATGGGATCGGATTAGAGGGCCTTAAAGTCAAGAGCCGGTACCAAGACTACGTCACCAAGGCCAACAAGACCAAGGAGCGCTACGACAAAAAGTGTGCCGACGCGCTCGAGCTCCTCGCGTCCTTGAGCCGCAAGCCCGACGGCGACAAGTCGTCGTCGGATCTCTTTTCCAAAGTGTGGGACTCGACGAAGAACCTTGCGTTCACGTCGCAGGACCGCCAGCGCACCAAGGTCGCGGCCGCCATGGACGACATTGTCGCTGCCGAAGCCGCGTACACGCGTGCCATCGAGGCGCTCGCTTCGCAGCGAACCGTTTACGAGCGCAGCTTGAAGGAGAACCTCCGGGCCTTTGAGGTCACGGAGGAGCAGCGCATCGAGTACATTAAAGACTTGCTCTTGCGCACGGAGAAGGCGCGGCTCGGGACGCTCAAGAAGATTGAAGCAGTCATCGCCGACATGCAAGCAGCGATCCAGTCGATCGATGTGCTCGGTATCTCTCTGCTTGTGTACAAGTCGTCCTCACTGCTGTCGTTAGATGACATTGAAGATGGGCTCGTGCAAGGCCTGGGGCTCCAGTCCCCCGAGCTCACGTCCGAGACGGCGTGGCTCCTCGACACGGAGAGCAGTCGACTGGCGGACCTCGTCGCTGGCGTGCAGAGCATGAGCGACCAAGGCGTCATCTGCACACACGCCATGCTCAACACACTGGTCGACTACATTTCCGCGGAAGAAACCTTTGTCCAAGCGCTCGACAAGCTCTCGAGCATCCATGGGACACCGCCCAACGAAAAGACAGAGACAGGACTCTTTGCGTCGTCGTACCCCGTGGTGGCCGACGAAGGCGCGACCTTTAGCGCTGCATGGGCCGCGGTCGTCGCCCAGCTGCAGCGGGTCGCGTACCTCCATCGCGTACGCGTGTTTGTATCAATGTATCGGTAGAGTATGGTTTCATGTAGGAGTTTGGGTCGCTCCTCGCCGAGCCCGTGCTTTTGAGTCTGGGCACGATGAAGAACGAGTACGACGAGACCAAGACGGCGCTGGACGCGGACCTCGGACGCTTGTACGGGACCATTTTGGCCGAGCGACAAGCCCACGGTCGACTCGTGGCGCGACTCGAGGCGAAGCGCAAGGAGCTCGATGCCAACCAGATGACACAGTCCAACAACAGCGACAAGGAGGACATGCTGCACCATCTTGGGCTTGCTGACAGTCCGTCGGAGCGAGAGCGCAAGCTCGGCTGGAAGGTCGACCAGCTTCGCGACGAGATTACGGATCTTTCGGCCCAAGTTGACGCGAGCGCGGCCACGCTGCTCGGCAAAGCCGACATGTTTCGCCAGGTACATTTCATGAAGAATACCAAGTTGATCGCGATTTGACGCGTGGTATGTAGGAGCTCCAGCGCGTGCTTTCGGGGTACTTGAAGAACGAGAAATACCGTCTCGATGTCAAGAAGAGCTCGTTGCGGTCGCTCGTCAAGGCCCACGACCACCTCGTGTTGGGCTTGAAGCACGCGTCCCAAGCGATCGTGACGGACGTCGACCAGCTCTCGGCGACGTGCGACATTCAAGAATTCATCCGACACGTCGTCCAAGAGTCGCCACCGTCCGAGGCGCCGACCTTGGTGCCAGTGCTCTCGACGTCGCCCGTCTTGCTCGAGCAACTTCGCAAACACACGTCGACGTCCAAGCCCAAGCTCGTGGCGACGTCGAGCAACTCGAATCTGGCGCGGACCATGGACGAGACGGAAGACTCGAACGCAAGCGACGCGGACGCGATACTCGACAAGAAGGACGAGCTCAAGGACGATAAGGACTCACTTCTCTTTGCGATGGGCTCGGCCGAGTTTCAGCGCGTCTTCAACGTACGTGTCTATGGATGGATTGAATCGGCCGTTGAAACAAATCATGTAGTTGGCCGCGTCCGAGCACGTCGTGGCGACCTTTTCGTGTGCCTTGTACCTCCACAACTTTCCGTGCCAAGGCCGACTGTACCTCTCGCAGACGTACCTCTGCTTTACAGGCTGGCGCGACGCGTTTGTGGTAGACGCCGGTGTTTGCCTCAAGACAAGATGACACATGTTGTCTAGGTGCTGCCGCTCACGGAGATTACGCACATGGAGCGCAAGAACACGGCGATCGTTGTTCCCAACGCCCTCGAGCTCACGACGGCGACGCAAGGCCGGTTCTTTTTTGCGTCGTTTCTATACCGGTACGCGCTTCGAACCTCGGCGCGGATGGATGATCACCGTGTTTCTAGCGACGAATGCATGCAGTCAATCGGTCAGCTGCGGCAGATTCAACAACAAATGCAAGCCATCTTGACACCCTCGGAAGAAGTCGAGACGACCAACGGCGAGGCTCCCGAGACGCAATCAAGTCTGGATGTTTCGGAGCAAGAGACGATCCTTTCGCAAGACTATGACGTGGTCATGGACGAAGTGCTGTCGCTGCCGTTGGCGTACGCCTACAAGTCGCTCTGGGAGCCCGCCGGCTATTTGGACGCGCTCCTGAACGCGTCGGGGGAGACCAACGTGAGCGTCGGCGAGTGGTCGTCGTCGCCGGTGCAGTACACGGCGTTCAAGCGGCCAGAGACGTTCCAGAAAGCGCGCACGGTCACGTATACGCACAACAAAAAGTACATGGTTGGGCCCAGTGCGATCCCGACGTCGCAGGTGCAGCGTCTCTCGTACACTGACGGTGTCGGCCTCGTGCTCAGCGTCACGGCGACGGTCGCCGACGCGCCGTACCACGACTACTTTCGCGCCGAGAGTCGGTGGCTCTTGACGCCATTGGCCAACGGCGACACGCGTCTCCGCACGGGCGTGCGCCTCTTTTGGGTCAAGAGCACGTGGCTCAAAAAGCAGGTTTGTGGAAAGTACCCTCGCCGAGGCCAACGCATCGTCGACGTAGATCGAAGGCGCAACCGCATCCGAGTCCAAGGAAACCATGAAGCTCTGGACGGTCAAGGCGATCGAAGCCTTCAAGAAGACGACGACCACGACGACGGCCAAGACACCACCGACGACAGCGCCGAGTACCGAGAAACCGCCCGTCGTGGCCGAGGTGCCCAAAACGATGGTGCCACCGGTCGCACTCAAGATGGAGGGCCGACTGCTGTGGGGACTCGTGCTGCTGGGCTACTTGCTAGTCTTGCTCAGTCTCTGGCGGCTCGGGAGCCTCCAGCAGCGAAGCGTGGCGCTCCAAGAAGAACAAGTCGCACTCCTTCGTGCGATGCTGAAGTCGATTGCGGACGCAGAGCTGCGCGACGTGATGCAACACGTGCTTCCGCCGCACTAAGACCGCCGCAATGTATTTTGTACATATTGTCGGTGTGTATGGCATTGCTGTACAAGGGAGCTACGCAACGTAGCCGCCGCCGTCGTCGTCGTCGTCTTGGTACGGACTCAACGCGGCAAAGTTTAGTTTGGGCACGGTCTGCGGCACGCAGTAGGTCGCGGTCGTGCCAGGTAGCACGAGCGACACATCGTCTAGCGACACGACGATGCATGGGGCACCAACTGTAGCCAGGGTGTCTACCGTCTTCATGTCCATCCGGCATCGAAGCGGTGCCGACTTTGCCGAGCGGCTCAAAGCGAAGCACGTGCCGTAGCTGGTCGACTTCGTTCTGGAGCTCGACGCAGAGCTGCTTGAGCGCTTGGTTTTCGGTTCGTGCGAGATAGACATCTACAATGGCTCCTTCATGAAGCATCGCCAATAGTGGTTGAGCTCACCCAAGGGGGCGCCGACGTCGTCGGACGGCTCGGCATACGTTATGTCAAAATGCTTGTTGAACTCGGTGCGGATCTTGAGCAAAATGCCTGCGTACGTCTACGCAAAAACGGTGAGGTGGTGGCTTCGGAAAGATGATCTTGGAAACGAACGCGGTCCTGCAAGATGACTTGGTCCAAGAGATCCCGGGCCACTTGGAGCCGCGCGCGCTGCTTCTGGGGCACCTACACGGATTCAGGGTACAACCCCGTCTTTGCATCGGCTGCAGTGTGTACTTGGGCCATTTCGATTTCGCCAAGGCGCTCGGCGAGCTCCATTTCCAAGACGGTCGCCGACGACCGAGCAAACTTGTGTCGACGACCCAGCGCCATTGACGCGTACGACTTTTGCGATGCGAGGCCCGTCTTCTTGGCGTACTTGCAGGTCTCGACCGAGGCGGGAGGCGGAAGAGTTTCGAGGTCGACGACCGCAGCCGTGGTGGCGAGAGGAGTGTGGCTAATAAGGTTGTTGTTTCCAAAGTCGCTGGCGTCAATGATCTTTTGACGGATCGAGGACGCCGACCGACAGCGTCTAGCATTGCGTTGGCAACGAGCCGCGACGTAGTGGGTCGCACCGGAGGGGTGTCGCGGGCCCGGTTGATGGGGCTGGTGACTTTTCGGGCTCGTTGTTGCTACTGCGCGGCGCCGAGTCCCGCCGCGTGAAAACTGGCTTCTACGGGCATTTTTACCTTGGGACATTCGGTGTAGGTGGCGTAGAGAGACCTTGCGCTGATCGAGGCCGAGCTGCTTCGTCAAGAGCGGTTTGGACCCAAGGTGTGTGCTCGACTAGCATCAGGATTCATTCGTGCAACGCGTGCGGGACACTCGCGCACCTGCCACTTGGACTTGGAGGGCAGGCTTGGACGTGGCTTGCTCGCGAGCATCGCTGCCTGTCTACGCGACTCGGAGGCGAAACGCTGCGCCCGATTTAGTGCGGTTGAAGACTATGGATGGCCGTTTTTCTGGGGCCCTACAGTGTAGAAGTCTCCTCGGTGCCAAAGCGGTTGTTCCTTCTTCTCACACGTCTCCTCAACACCCTTGCCCCGTGTGCGATCGCCACCGTCGCCACGATTGACACCGCACCCAGATAACTCTCTTCGCGTCGACGAAGCGTCTTCTACGTTCGACAACGCATCATGCGCTCCATTTGAGAGACGCCCAGCCACAAGAAGGCATCATCATCCTCGCCAGCTTTTCACTTGGCGGTGCCAACGACCTTTGGTGTACGAATTAGCACCGACCACGGCCCCCATCAGCCTCAACGAGAGCCACGTTCTCGCGCGTCAGTGGCCTGGCGCTTGAAGTTTGTGAAGATTGTCTCCGGTGGCCCTCTCTCGCCTTTCTTGACCGAGATGACCGCTTCGTCGAGCGACGAAATACTTTGCCCGACTCGTGCAGTCGGTCCTCCGACATCGAGTAGTTGGATACTAGTATATGCGTGGTAGATATATTAACAAAAGAAACAAAATCGGATTTATTCCTCGTCGCTGCTGCTCTCGTCGCTGTCTTCGACGTGCGCGTAGTGCCCGCCCATGCGGTTGCGGTTCACAAACATGAGGTCGTCATCGTTGTCGCTCTCCGAATCGTCGGCCTCTTCGCTCTCGTCGTCGGCCGCGCCTTCGATCGTGTTGCCAAACTTGTCGACCTTGCCGCTGCCCATCGAGACGTCGGCGACCTTGTCCGTGAGCGCGCTCAGCGACTCGTCGTACTCACGCTTGGTCTCGTCCTCGACAAAGACGTCGGGCCAGAGGTCCTTGGCCTTGAGGTTCTTGATCTGGTCCTTGTACAAAATGTGCTCGACCGAGAAATTGACCGCGCCCTTCTTGTCGTCGTCCGCACCCGAGACGATGAGAAAGTCGCCGCGGCGGATCCAAATGAGCTTGCGGTACTTGGGTCGGCAGCATCGCGAGGCCCGTATCCGCCCGTCGCCGTCTCGACCT